ATTCATTTGTTCATTTATTCATTTATTTACCAATACAGCATCTTTATTTCAGGTCTATCAAGGACATTAACACTCTTGCTATGCCGAGCACTGGATAGCTCAACATTAACGACAGGAGAGCATTTTCTCTTCATACAATCAATTCGATCAAAAAGCTTTTTCACTTCACGTCTTATATCTGGAACCCTATAGCAAAATAAGATCGGGTTTAACGTCGAGTTCAAATACACGACAGTCGCTCCCGACTCGTACGCGATTTTCACTGCGGCACTGTATCCAACGATTACTCGAGTGACCATTGCACAGAAGAATGGAATGTAACAAAGTAACAACAGCACGAGTACGTACATGGCTGTAACAGCAGATTTCCTGTATCGCTTAATGTTGATGGTTACACTTCCTGGTTGATTCCCGCCAAAACGGGATACCTGTGCCTGGATTTGATCCTGGATTTGACTTCGATGCTTTTGGAGGATCCTAAAAATCTTCCAATAAGCTGTAAATGTGATGATCACATTTGAAACTAGAATGGGAGCCGGCACGAATGTCCAGTATTTATCTGACTTAAGTACAAAGAGAGACATTATAATCAAGAACGCCGCAATCCAAAACAAAGTCGCGGTGAGAACAACTTTACGAACAGTAACGACAACAGCGTAGCGAAGATGAAGGTGAAGCGCAAGGAATCTCTCAACCGCTAAGGCAGTTATAGTTAGCATGGATACTCCAGCACAGATCCATCCAACAACCCAATGTATCACCCTAGCAACGCAAGAAGCACGCTTCAAGACCAGTATCTCAGCAACTTTATACGTGACGTAAGCAGGCTGGGTGATGCAGCCAATCACTAGATCAGACAGCGCTAGGCACCCAAGAAGAACATTGGACGGCGTGTGCAGATTGGGATGACGTAATATTATTAGAAGTAGTACTGTATTTGATACCRTTGCAGTCAAGGCGAAGATGGAGTTCAGAATGCACGTGATTATAGCCGTGACGTAGGTGGGTCCTTCGGGTATTTGCATTACTTCGGTGAGAAAATAACACCGACCCATATCTGTTATATTCTCTTCCATGGTGGCATCGAGACCTGCTAAAAAAATACAAACATTACTAAATAGACCCCTTGCAGCACGTCGGAACGCAGCTCAATAGCGCAGCGCAGCCGTGACGTCATAAAATCGAAGACAAAGGCGAAATTCGGACAAACAAACTTACAAGTTTACTTTCAGCAGATAATTTTCACAGCCGATCGCAGTTGATCTTAGTTTACATGGGTTATTATTGTAACTTTAAGYAAAAATAATAAAATCGGTTCGTATAATCCTCGTAGCGGTTAAACAGAATGCAATGTTTGTCCGAATCTTTAAGCTATTTTTAGGATCAGCGCGAAGGGTAAATCAATTTACCACTTTCCACACATCGGTTCACTGGTCAAACACAAAGCATTCAGTCGAGGTTGCAAAGGTCAAATTTGAATAATCCTTTGAAAGTACTTTGGCTCCTCGCTTGGACGCTTTGTGTTGGACCAGTGAACCAATGGGCTTTCATTACACGGCGGCCATGTTTATTCTCATGGGAATAAAAAACCTTTGTTTAACCTGCATTGATTTATTCTTAAGCTCTTGTATGTGAGGCTACGCRTGGTAGAATCTATTGTTCCAACCAACATGGCTACCGCGTGAAAAAGGCCCATGTATGGAAAAAGGTGAATGATGGCGTTATTGACAGACTCCCTTGCACACTTTCTTTTGTTCAATTAATTAGCACCAATTGTCTTATTATTCTTATGAGAGAATACAAATTTTACTATAAGAGAAAAAATTTGCCAAGCATTATGGTAGCAGGAGTGAAATGACGCCATCATTGCAAAAGTCCAATTCTCATGAGATTGATTTTTTTCCAAACTGAGCTGCTTTGACATCCCACCTTTTAGTAGAATCATAGGTCACGTGACAAAAAATCACATGGCATGCATGAAGATGAGAAAAGAAGTTGATATACACTTAATAGACCTCTTCGGCTTGGGGTAATGTTTTCCCATTTCAAACCACGTGTCATTCCCTTGAGAATAAGATTCTTTGTTTGAGCTGTATATATATTCATGTGTCTTCACATGTGCAACCAAGCGCAAACCTTAAACAAAGAAGTGATACTCTAGGGAATGACACGTGGTCTGAAGTGGGAAAACATTACGTCAGAGCCGCGAAGAGGTCTATTGAAGAATCGTTGTCGGGTTCAGAAACATAGAACATAGAAGCTGAGACCGAAATGGCACATGGGAAGTACGTTAATTAGATGCATGCTGTGACCGGCGACCCGTGGCATCATCCACTGTTTTTAATACGCGTTTGGCATTCTAAACCGACTGCATGGAGGGCGCAAATGAATAAATTATAATATAATTATGTCATTTCCCATGTGCCATTTCGGTCTCAGTTTTTTTGTTATGTTTCTGAACCCAACAACGATTCTTTAATTGAGTGTATACGATAAATATAAACACGACATTTGGTGGCTATCATTGATTTTCTCATCCCTAAAAAAAAAAAATACAACTTTTCGCTATTTTCTTCGTGTTGCTGCTGTTGTGAAAGCTTCATAAACTTTATAACTCAACAACTCAACACTCAATCAAAGAATATTTTACCATTCAATTATTTACTATCCTTTTCAAGTCCGAAGTGTATCTTAAGAATTGTGCGTTCTGATCATGATTGACTCCACGAGATGGCGTTATTTTCTATTGCAGACTGCGTTCCGACCCGTTCCGGTATCCTTGTCGATAACGGATTGCTAAATCCGCCTTGAAAACGAACCCAGTCTTCGGTGTAATGACCTTGGTTCGTATAATMAAGACCTCTGGCACAATTTTTTAACAGGCCTCTCTTTAAACTATTTCTACTAAATAAGACATCCCTGTATAAATATTGTTAGAAAACTCATTAATAATTCATGAAGGAAACACAATAGAAATCATGACCATGAAGGAGGTTTTATATCTGATATAGATTCGTCTTCATTTGCATAAACTTTAACTTGGATTTTCTCTACCAAACTTGGTTCATTTCGTAAAGAATTCGGTACAGTATGAGAACATACATCTGGAGTTTTCCAAGCCGTTTAATAAACTCGCAGATCGTGTTTTATCGGGTCTAAAACCACTCGGCTACGCCTCGTGTTTATACCCGATAAAACACTCCTGCTCGTTTATTAAACAGTACTTAGAATAAATAAACAAGTAAAATAAATAGAGTCACAGGATAGTATAACTACTAATTAAATGTCATCTTGAATCCATTCTTCGTCCTCCTAATATTGATTCGTGTGGACAGTATACGCAGTTTTATCTCTACAACAGGTTTGTTATACACCTATTTCAAAAAACGTTGTCGGTTGGATATCTGAAATCAAGAATTGTGGGGACTGAGTGTTTTCTCGTTCAAAATTCAATATACACTTACCCAGATAGTTTGCCAGCGCAGGTCATCGCTCAAAGTCAGTATATCAAGATATTAACTTTTTGCTAACTACTAATTAAATCCACAAACAATTTACAGCTTACAACCCACAATTCCGTTCGGTCTCAGCTCTCAGCTCTCCGACTAGGTTTTTTAAAATAGATGTATACCTGCTAGCTTTATAAGAGCTACCCTCGAAAAATATGGATTTTTAGATTTAAAAAATCGGATTCTGTAGGATGAACAAGCCAATACTTGATATAAAAACCGTGATTATTTTAGTGTGTTATTTTTGATTCTAATAAGCCTGAAGCGAGATGACGTTTTACCCCCGACTCTATACCATAATAGTTTTTAAAATTCTTTCATATTAAAATTTTTGATTCCTTAGAGAATACAGGAACAATAGTCATAATTAAAGAACAAAAGCAGAGTGAAAAGGATTATGGTCTAGAGACGGGGGTAAAACGTCATCTCGCTTCAGGCTTATTACTGAAATATGAAAGTTCTAGCACTTTTGACTAAACAATAGGCTGATGAAAAATTATTGATGGCATAATTAAGTACCCGTATTAGATAAAACAATTATCAAAACTCACCGGCTATTCTTCGTGAAAATTTTAATATAAAAAATGTAATATATAGCGCGAATTCCCAAATGCTGTTTTTCATTTCAAATAAAGTAGTTGACGTGGAAACGGTTATGCGAGGATAATCATTGCCTTTCTTCTAGTGCAGCTGTTGTACGACTGTTTATGACATTACGTGTTTTTACAAGAATTCCCGTTCTTTGTTTGTATTTGTGAGTAAAACTGTGTAAAAATAATCAAATATTCTGAAAGGCTTTTCTCGGCATTTATTGAAGCTTTATGACTTTAGGTGTTGAATGTAAATAAAAGGACTGACATTTTATGAGAGTGTRCCTTTATCTTTGGAGAGTATTATTGTGGATGTTTTGAAAGAAAGAAGTGATAATGTATAATATTTATGAGAATGTTATGACATCTTGTAAAAAAAATAGAGACTAAAGATATTGAAACGTGGGGAAAAAAGAAAACGAAAGGGAGTACTGAGAATATATAGTGGCAAGAAGATTTAAGGAATAGCGAAAGAAATGAGTAACGAAATAAAGAAGGAAGAAAGAAAGAATGGACGAATGAATGAATGAACGAATGAACGAATGAGCGATATATAGTGGCAAGGAGATTAAAGGAATAGCGAAAGAAATGAGTAACGAAATAAAGAAGGAAGAAAGAAAGAATGGACGAATGAATGAATGAACCAATGAGCGAAGGCCAAGGAAGGATTGAAGGAAGGAGAGAGGAGGAAAGGGAAGCCAAAGAAAAAATATATATTGCAAGCAAATATCGTATCAATAATAAAAGCAAACTTTGTTCAAATAGTTCTTTACATCTAGCCTAAACATCTAACGCCCAAACAATATGCGAAAGTAGTTGTCTWCGTTTCAAATTCAAGGGAGTACACTCAAAGTGTATTACATGAAAATCGACATTTTGGTAGCTTGAAGAAGCTTAATTAAAAGACTTACGAATATGTCATTTCTGGCTGTCAGAAATAAGACCTGCAATTTTAGCTCAAAATGAAGTTGAGTGAAATCAGTCCACAGAGTGATGGTTTAAGTCGTCTTCGAATTTTTGCCCTATACTTTAGCTTGGATCAGAATATAAAGAACACAACCCGTTTATTCCTGTTTCTTAATTTAATTTAATTCAACTTTTTGTTTTATTTTTGGTTGTATTTTTTCTGGGGGGGGGGGGGGGNGGGGGGGGGGGGGGGGGGTCGTTTCTGCAACTATTTATTGCTAGCCAAATTTAATCTTAGTGCTACGGTAAGTTAGACTAGAGTCATTCCTCAATCAAATCAAGGCAAAATAACTGTCCAGCTTTTTAGCGACAAACAAATTAAAATTTTTAGCATGCATATTACATGAAGTATTATTATTTTGTAGGAATAAATAACAGTTTTTATGAGAGGTTTCAAATTTTATCTAAGTGTAAAACTAAGGAACCGTCTAAAAAAAAATTTAGAATTTATTCAAAGATGAGCTTTTAGTCGTTTGGCTGTTTATTAGTGATTATTTAAGTAATCTACTATTGTCTCCAAATCACAAGATATTAATAATTTTCACTTATTGATGAATGCATGTATGTGTAGTACGTGTTAATCGAGTTTCGAAGGCAAAGCTTAAGTCAATTATTCTGCTATTTATACGAAAAGGGAGGATTGCCCAAAACATCGTAGACACGGAATATTAAATAGTACGTTAATAGAGCAGTAGTACCATGTTAAAAAATAAGGCCAAAAGTAAAGGCAAGTATTCTGTTTTAATATAGGTATACTACTAGGTGTACTATAGGTATAACATGTTGGTTTAGCCTGGTTTTGGCTTCTAAAAGGACTCTCGTTATAATTTACCGCGAGGACTCGATCTGCAATTCACCTTGCATTATTATTTATTCATACAAAATAAGATGTATTGGCTATAATAGGTAAAATATGTTGATTTAGCCTTGTTCTGACTCCTAAAGACTTCCTTAATGATTTCCTTGACGACAGAGCCTGTGACGAAGCAGCATATCTTGATTTTTCACAAGAAACAAAAATGTCTTACAGAAGTCAATTATTCACTAGAAACCGTTCACCTTTTTAACAGTTCAGTCCAGTTCAGCAAGATCTTGTTCGTAAGAAAATGTTGGCATATTTAGGTGGAATCCAATTTTTTGCTTCGTTTTGTCTTGCCTTATGATATTTGCCAATACTTTTGAAAAACATGCATTATTTGTACATACAAAATACGCGAAAGCTTATTTAAAATGTTTACTAAGTCAGCCTAAACCTAAATATTATAAAAAGTCAAACATTTAGCTTCAGATAATAGTTTAAAAACCTAGATTTTGTGTAAAATATATATTAAGTTTAATTTTCGTTTTATAAGAGCTAAATTCATTTTCATACGAAAAMTAAAAAAGTCTCAAATAACGTTTCAGTAGGCAAACATAGAGATTTAAACAGGATTGTTTTTGAACTCACCTCGACATGGATCTTTAATCTTGGTAGTTTTTGTTTGTTTGCGTGTTTGTTTTTCCCCAAAATATGGACTTTTGGTTTTAAAATGTACGTCTTAAAGTCGACTTAAAAACACCGAGGAGGTTTACACCTCTCGGGCTAAAAGACCCAAAAACTCTTGATAAGGCCGCAGCATAACTGTGCTGCTTACAAAATAAAGTAAAATTTACGAGACCAAAACATTTTTCCCCCTTTTAATTTCGCTTTTCTAGTGGACAGAATCAACCAATCACCGATCAGTACATTGATCACGTGACATTATCGAGGTTTTCGATCGTRGAGCTATATAGACATTGGTCAGGTCCATTTGTCACTAGTTTTGAATAAAGAAATTAAAAGAGTCAAGCAGCTGTTTTGGTAACGATTAGGTTATTTTCACCTTGGCAGTTGATCCGTTTAATTACTAGAAAATGAAATGCTGTTTTGAAAAGCCGTGAAAAAGTTTTAAAATTTTACGGCTTGAAGGAGACAAAGTGCTAAAATAAAACTGAAAGCATCGTGGAGATTATAATGTTTCAAATTCTTATTTTTATCATATATTTTTTAGTGTTGATTTTCATTTCCCATGCATATGTAAGAAAGATAGAAAGAAAGGAAGAATGGAAGAAACTGACTGTGAATAAAAGTCTGTGCCAAAAATATATTGAATAACAGGTTGCACTTCCGTCTTCTCATTTAGACTTATTGGACTTTATTACATTTTTCTGACAGATCGATAATCAAATGCTTTAGTAAAACGCAGATTCTGTGAATCTTCAGAAGTAATTAAATTTCAAAATGCTTCTTCAACATTGAGACATCCATATTTTCTAAGAGGCTACTTATAAGCGACTACTCGCACTAGGCAATCAGCATTACTTGCATCTGCTCTCACAGGTTTGTCTGGTGACAGCTCAGTAATCACGTGCTGATTAATTCACTGAGAGCAAATGAATGAATATCTTGATTATGGCATGGGTGAAATATACTGGTGAGCAAACAAACTCTTTACAACCTGTTTCGAGAGATCGTAATAAAACTGCATTTCGTAACACACTGGTTACACATCGTTTCATTCAGTTCTTTACAAGTAGCTAAAAAGAATCACTAATTTAAAATAAAATAAAAAATTTTGCTCACCAGTAGAGACACGTGACCGTTAACTGCAAAGAGCCTATTGCCTCGCAGTAGACATTCCCCGAATCGTATTGAGTGACAATAGCAATGGCTTCCAAGGCTTCTAGTCGTGATGGAATAATATAAATGCATGAACACATCGAGTCCGATCTCCACTTGTGACTTCGTTTCGTGGTCACTCAAACGAATTCGGCAAACGTCTATTAGCCATATATTCTGAGGTTGAAGAAAACTGGGTCTAGTTGGCATTGCATTGTGGGACAAATTTAGGGACGAAATTCTTGGGGTGCAACCACACGACCCAAAACCCAGGGTGGGCTGGAGGAAAAATCGAAAAAAACCTTGGAAAAATTCACAACCCCCCCCCC